CAGACTTTTACCACAAATAAGTTTGGCATATTCAAACACACCATAGAACCACAAAGGGCTTCCTCCAGGGTGCTCTTACCTGAGGGCCCCTCCCAATAGAGAGTTCTTTCTTACCTCCTTTCACAGATCTACTATTAATTCTACAAGGATGAAAAAGGAGGGGGCGGGGAGAGGTGAAAGGGAGAATGGGAAGGAGGAAGGATCCATCAAAGTTTACAAATCTTTCAAAACACTAAAAAACGTCATAAGCAAAATTAATTCTATACTAAACAAAGCTGAGCCTAATAAACAGGTCATGAACTCAACATCCTTAAAAACAGAAGTGTCAAAGGGTGAGAGGGCCGGGAGGCTCAGTTAGGGGAGTGCTTGCCTAACGTGCAGGAAGTCCTGGGGTATATCTGCGGGACCCCATAAATTGACCACTGTGGGTACATCTGTAACTCGGCACTTATGAAGCAGAGGCAGGGAAATCAGAAGCATAAGGGGAACTACATGAGTCTGAGGCTACCTTGGACTACATGAGACCCTGTCTCAAAAAAAAAAAAAAAAAAAAAAATGGATCCCAAGATGAGGAGGATGCAATTAAAATGACATTCAAAATGTCTCCTGAGACTCAGTGTTCTGTCAAGCATACAGAAGAAGCAGGTACAGTGACCAAACACATCCAGTAGACATGAAGAAACAGATCACACCCAGTGAATAACATTCACCTGAAAAATGACTTGTCAAGCTAACGTCAAACTTAAGTCTTCAGAGTTACAGATGTATGGAAGCTTACCAGAAATACTCTGGTGGTGCTGGCCTCGGAGCTGAGGGTGGGGTTGGAGGTGGTGAGAAGGTAGATTTGTGTCAAGAGCTGAACATGCTGGGAAGGGAAAACACTGACATTTCATAATGTTGCCATTTCAGAAACACAGATCTTACCAGGAAGTCTGCAAATGTATCACACACATCTTGCTTCTCAGAGGGATTAGAGCAGAGCAGGATCTTGGTATGACTTTCTGAGATATTTTCCTCAGAACAAAACCACAAACTCAGACAAACTTGAACCTCAAACTAGAGAGACTAAGACTGAGAGAGGAAAATGAAATACTGACAGTTACTCAAGTTTGAATGTGTGGTCAAGAATCTGAATTCCTTCATCCTGAGAATTACCAAGGTCTTTATCTGCTTTCCTGTTCTTCTCTCAAGGTCTTACAGACTCAGGGTCCTATGGGCCCCTGTTTCCACGGGAAGCAGGACAGTCATCTTTGACTTTACAACACTGCTCACTTTTGGCTTCAGAGTTAAGCTAGGAGATGATGCAATCACACAACAATGAGAAAGTCTTGCCTGCTGCATCTGCTGCTGAAGCCTGCTCCTCTGTGCTGCATCTAGAATCAGCGCCTGATGGACTGTCTCCTTCTGAGGTTTAAGCCTCTCCACTTCAGGCTGTGGTTTGGAGGAAGATTTTTTCATTTTCAGTTGTTCAAGCAGCTCTTTCACTGTCCGGTGTCGTTCATTTAGCAAGTTGGCCAATGGTTCCTCAAAACTATTCCCAACAAGGAAAAAAAATCTGTGTATTTTCATAGGTCACCAAACTCCTTGTAATGACATGTGAACCAAGCTTGAACAATGTCCATTTACTTTTTTTTGAAATTAATTGATTTTCATTTTTTAGGATATACTTTATCTTTTTATATTTCATGTGCATTGGTGTTTTGCCTGCATGTGTGTCTGTGTGAGGGTGTCAGATCCCCTGGAACTGGAGTTACAGACAGCTGACAGCTGCCATGTGGGTGCTGGGAATTGAACCTGGGTTCTCTGGAAGACCAGCCAGTGCTCTTAGCCACTGAGCCATTTCTCCACACCATGTCTATTTACTTTGGATCTTTAAATCTCACTACAACCAATATCCATGCTCCTTAACCAAATAATTTCCTCAGATTGTTAGGATTACATTCAAATGAAATAATTCTGTTGCCTGAGTAGAGCACATGCCTAGAATGCTTGAAGCCCTGGGGTCAATCTCCAGCAATGCCAAAGAAGATTTTGAATTATCTTTCATCTTCTTTTGATATAATTACTTGTCTACATGAAACACACAGCGAGAAAAATTAAATTAAAATGGAAAAGCCGAGAAATACCTGTGTAATACACTGCCACAGCAACTGGGACCTCATCATCCTTGCAAGCATTATACCAACACATCTACTCTATGACGTCTTCTCAACATGTCGGAGACGCTTCCAAAAGCACACCATGTGGTCTCTCATTTACCTTCTACTCCAGCCCTTTCCATTCTGGCTGCCCTTCATTCATTCTTTAAAAGGGAAAGCCCAGGGTGAGGCTATACTTATGTTACATATAGAAAATGCTTGTTTTGTAACTGAGTTCTAGGTTTGATTCCTAGCACCAAAAACAAAAACACAGAAACCTGCCAAAGACTTTCTACAATGTAACAAGAAAGAAATGCTAACATCCACAGCAGCTTAGATGAAGAGAAAAAGTGGTTAGTTCAAACATTACTTACTATACTACCTCCATGCAAGTATGTTTCACCCATTCAAACTCCTTTCTGGTGTTGCCTGACCATAACTGTGCATCCTGCCCACAACCGAGCTGTCCGGGAACTCATGTCATAGACCAGGCTGGCCTTGAACTCACAGAGATGAGACTTATTTATTTTTAATCATGTGTATGAATGTTTTGCCGGCATGTATGTCTGTCGTACTGCATTGTGGTATACCAGTTTTCTCCAAGATTTAAACATCCCATCATTGCAGGGAACCTCTCAAGACTGGAAATAAATTACCAGAATATCATCAGGAAGTCCCTGAAACAGACCAGACTCACTGGGCTCCTTCTTCCTAGGAGTAAACAATTAGACTGCTGAGCATCACTCTCACACAAGTAAGCTGCAAACAAGAAGCAGAGATCGTCCAAGCATCCCAACTGATATAAATGGTTTCCATGCTGTATTGGACATCACTAAAATTTTGCTTCAGTATTCCCTTAGCTGCTGAACTGATGTATGCTTGGACTGGACAGTCATGGCCTTCAGAGAGAACCCCTACCTCTGTAAAAATGTCTCCTTATATAATGCTAACCTGTAGAAGCCTTAAAGAATGGCGAAAGTATTTGGAAGAATGGTAAAATCAGCAAAGGAGTTTAAACAAAGATATCCTCAGGACTTAAGGAACTGTTTTGTTTCCTTTAGTTTTTTATTCTTCTCTCATATGTTAAATCCAGACTGCAGTTTGCCCTCCCTCCTAGACCCCGATCCTTCCCCATGACAGATCCACTCCTCCTCCTATCCCTTCAGAAAGGGCAGGCTGCCCTGGGATATCAACCAAACAAGACGTACCAAGTTGAAATAAGACTGGGCACGTCCTCTCATTTTAAAGCTGGACGAGGCAACCCAATAGAAGGAAACAGAGTCAGGGACAGCCCCCGCTCCCACTCTTGGGAGTCCCACAAGAAGACCAAGCTACAAAAGCATAACATATCTGCAGAGGCCCTAGCTCAGACCCAGGAAGGCTCCCTGATGGTTGGTTCAGTCTCTGTGAACCCCATAGCCCAGGTTAGTTGGTTCACTTAAAAGGATTGTGGGTGAAAAGTCAGTGCAAGAGGTAGGTTACTGCTGTATGAGCTAGTTAGTAGTCAGGGATGCCCTTGAGGCTCCATAAACCATAAATGCTGCTAACTGCTGTCCAGAACTACATAGTACATTCCTTTTGCTAAAGACTCTGCACACTTCTGTCACAGGACATACAAAAATCTAGCTGTCATGGAGCTAGAAATAGCCTTCCTGGAGGCTGTCTTTATCCTAGGTCAAAACTACCATGCAGGCTGTTTGTGGAAAATTATCACCAAAGGTGCTGCTCAGCTATGAAGTCTAAATGATACACTATCAGCATGACAGGCAAGATGCTCCTGCTTTTGGTACAACTAATTGCTTTCCACTTGGATTTTAAGACCCAGCTCACAGGAGGAACTCATGTTAGGCCCTGTAAGCCAGGGCAAAGTCTTGTGGCTGTGGAGGTCATAGGCTCCAGGGTCAAGGTAACTGCTCTGTAAACAGACGTGATAAACCTGATAGATCGCCTTTTCATGATGGGTGTTTATGTCTACATGGAAGGTTGTTCATGTGAGTACAGGTACCCAGAGGCCACAAGAGGTTATCTAATCCTCTGGAGCTGGCGTTACAGGTGATGGCACCTGACGTGGGTGCTGGCACTGAACTCTGGTTCCCTCAAAGAGCAGTCTGAGCTCTCAACCTCTGAGCCATTTCTCCAGACCCTTGGTTTTTGGTTTGGTAACTGATTTGGTAAGTCCAGGGACCATTTCAGGAGTGAAAACAACAGGGCAATCAAGCTCACATTCCCAGTAGCTGCCAGAAGGAGGGAGATGAAGAAGAGAAAGAATGAAAGCTGTGCCCTTTGGAGCCCAGGAAAGCATGATCAACATGCACACTAACAAGCAGTCCAATGGGTGTGTCTAATTGGGTGGGGAACAAGTGAAAACATCCAGAGAATCGGCAATCCATGCTTAGGCTTTGGGCCGGGATCAGGAGACAGAAGCAGGGAAAGGAGGGGGCTGGAGTGATGATGGCACAGTGGTTAAGAGCACTTACTGTACCACTTCCTGTTCATGCAGAAGACTCAGGTTTGACTCCCAGCACCCACACAGTGGCTCACAACCATCTATAACTCCAGGTCCAGGGGATCCAATGCCACCTTCTAGCATGAAAGTGATGCTCAGCCACATATGCACACAAAACACCCACCCAAAACAGTTAAATTAAAAAGGGGGGGGCAGGATAAGGAAAACTCATGTTTTTTGTTTTTGTTTTAACTTAGAATACAGCAAAGAGGCAGCTTATTTGTGAAGATATGCAAGCAACTGCCTAAGCTGTCTTCTAGATATTTATTGCATATTTATAGAAGACAGCTTCTATCAGCCTTGGTTCTGGAAGGAATCCCCACCCCCCACCTTTTTTTTTTATTTTGCTTCTTCAGGAGAGAAGTTAACAGAGAAACCATAAGCAGTCGAGCTGCTGCTGTGGTACAGTGACCTAAGTCTGTTGGATCTTCTGAGACTGAAGGCCGAAGACTGACACTGCCCTGATACCTTTGCCCCCAGTGAAATCAAGATCCCCACGGAGGACCCCAGGGTGATTGTCCGGGTGGCAGGTAAGTCTACGTCATTGTTTAATTAGATTCAGAAGCTACCAGGTCTATACTACCTGCTTTTACTCCAGGAAATTTATCCCTCTCCGCTTTCTGATGGCAGTGACAATTAGGCTACCGACAGCTATCAGTTAAACAGCAGCAAGCAGACCAGCTCCTCCTCCAAGGCTTCTGCTGCCTTCTCTGTTCTCTTCGTATGTAACCAGCCAGCCTCAAGCCTCACTTCCCTAGGGCTACTTGATCTCTGTAAATTCTGAAGGTCAAAGAAAGTATTTTAAGGTATGCAAATACAAGCTGTAAAGGTCAAAGAAAGTGATTTAAGGTATATAAAAAATTGCTTCAGAGTTCTCCCTTCACTATGCTATTATTATACTAAGACTTCAAAAGCTCAAAGTTTCAACATTAATCAGTGGAGTTCTGATACAATGTTAATCTAGGCCCGGGTAAAGCACTGCTACTACCACCATAGTCAGAAGCTCAAATTTTTAAATTTCCTCTGGTTGTCTTCTAAGTATAGACATAAAGTGCTTCTCTCTGTGCTAAAAACACCTCTGTCCAATTTATACATCCAACCCTCTGGAAAGAGTGTTAATGCTTTTAACCCAGGTATATTTCTGGGTGCCCAAGCTTCTACTATGACTCAAAGATGTGAGTATACTGCCTTTTCTGCAATGTGGATTTCAGTACAGATTACAAACATTGGTAATTCTAATATATCTAAAACTTTCATCTCTTTCTGTAAACTTAAAGGTTTAGGGAACTGTAAAGTTCTTGTAAGGTTCAGGGAACTGACTTAAATCTACCTCTCATAGGTCAAATAGATTCCAGATAAATACTGTCAAACAACAACCTACGTTTCCCCACCTCTGCCTATTCTTGAGATTAGGAACTATCTACCCTGGTTTTGGGACTCCCCTTCCCCAACGACTATAACTGTGAGCCTGGAAGTTTCAAATTTACACCCTGGATAAAAATTTTCCCTTAAATTACCTTAACTTTACCTTCTCTCCCTAGTCTATCTGTCCCAGCAGATTTCAAATCAACTACACACTGTGCCAGCAACTTGCTAGCTCCAGGTGTTCCCTCAGAATCTGTATCTAGGATGGTTCCAAAGCACCAGCCCAGGCGGTCCAGGCTCACAGACTGTTACAACTAGGCCTGTCCTTCCCTAACCCCGAAGGTCCTGCATAGCCTGCACAGTCAGTGAAAACAGTCTGCTCTTCTTGGCTTTGGCTAGCATGCCAACATTCTTGAGTCTTCAATAACAATGCCCCAATGTGAGCAAGAAGTAGTCATAGATGAATACAGCATCTCTTATCACTCATTAATAACTTTACACAAAAAGTCATGTTTCTGGTTCCTATTTAATGATTTGCTCAATCAATCCCTAGGAGGTAAGTCAGATGTTAATGACAAACAATGAACACAAGTGATATCTAGACATTACAGTGGAGAACGTGTCTGTGGCTGGCCTTGTGAGGCTCCACACACCTGTCCAGCACCACTTGCATGGAAAGGCTGCTCTCAGTGCCAGCTTTGATTTCTCTCCCTTCCCAAACAGATACAGCTCTGTCTATAGCTGTACTGCCCCATAACAAGGAGACCTTCTGTTTGCTGGTTTGTTAACTAACTCACCTCTAGGGCTAAACAAGAGGGTGAGGGAAGATTAATTATAATTTCTTCAAAAAACAACCAAAACTATCAAGTCTCTTCAGAAACATATTATCCCTTCTCTCTACATCTCAGCCAGCATACCATAGGGTTGGAGGGGTGTTGAAGTCTGGCCGAGACTCTGGAACACGCTCCTCTTCCTCAGGGCCATCTTCTTCCATACTGGAGAGTTCCATTTCATCTTGGAACTGTGGGCAAATGAAAAGGAGGGTTTTCTCAAGGGAATGTTCCTTATGTTAGTCTCTCTAGTGATAATAAGTATTAGCAAAACTAGAGAATTCAGGAGTGTTAATAATGTTGGGATTCAAAAGAGACCCTAAGAGGGGAGTTGGCTCAGGGGTTAAGAACAATGGTTGTTGAGTAGGACCCAGAATCAATTCCCAGCTCCAACATGGCAGCACAAACGATCTCTCACTGCAGTCCAGGGAATCCAATGCCCTCTTCTGACCTTCATAGGCACCAGGCATGTGGTACACAGAAAGACATGCAGGAGAAACACTCATTCACATAATGAATAATATTTCCCATTGTTCTCAAAATGCAGAGTTTTGGAGCCCAGGCATAAACATATATACAAGTAATATTGTACAGAAAGAAATGGTTATACATGTGTATTTAGGAATACACATATATATGTAACAAAATTAATGAAAACAGAGTATGTGAATTTTAAAGAGAACAAGGAGAGGTATTTGGAATGTTTGAAGAAAGGAAAGGGAAGAGTGATATGAAGAAATTTTATTACTTTTATATATTTTATTTATTTATTTAATTTATTAATTTATTTTTAAATCATAGCTATAATGGAGGTATTCTCACTTCAGGAGTCTTAGGGCCCTATACTAACAATGGCTAATAATTCTAAAAGAAGTCTTTCGACTGGCCAACTTGTAACATAAACTGAGAGAGAATAGATAACTCAAAATAATCAATCTCTTCCACAGAAACACCTTGGTGTGTGGTTTATGCGTGTACATGTGTGTTGTGTAAAGGTAGAGACCAGAGTTTGCTGTAGGGTATCTTCCTCAAGCATTTTCTTTCTTTTTTTTTTTTTTATTTTTTGACACAAACCAGACTGTTTGGTGCAGGAATATTGTTATGGTCCTAGTTAAGTGACCCCAGGTAAGGAGGTGCTGGGCCCCTCAGTTCGGAGCTGTGTGGGGAAGATGGGAGGGACAGAGGGCTTTCACCTAGTGTGGCCTCAGAGTTGTGAAAAGACCCAGGGAGCCAGGGTGCAGGGGAAGCCGTGGCTCCACATTCAGTGCCTTTTTTATGCAATTGTCTATCACCTTGGAGACCTCCTTAGGCTGTGATTCTGAACAAGGGACACCAAAGAATCATCCAGTAATAACTCTGGCTCCTTCCCAAAGACCCAGTGGGGTCAGTCAAGAGTCAAATCCTGCCGTGTAGACTCGATCCCACTCTTCCGTCACGACATCTCTAACACTCTGACGTGCCACCGCATGCACTGTTCGTCTTCAGAGTCCCAGCTGCACAAACCCAGCAGTGGGTCACAGAACAGCTTGGGGTAAACGTATCAGGAACACCAAGCAGCATATCTTTCTTGCCCTTGAACAGCTTGGCCACATTCACCTTCTTCCCAGACTCCCCTTCAAACACCTCCACTGAGGGGATACCATCTCCCTCCTTAGTTGGGGCCATGGCCATGACAGCACTGCTGAGGCTGTGGGCTCAGCCACATGCCACACTGCTGCTTAGTAGCCTGCTCTGCCTGTCATGGAGCAGGAACATGGAGCAGTAACATGGAGCAGTCCCACGGAGCAGTAACATGGAGCAGTCCCTTGGAGCAGTTAACATGGAGCAGTCCCATGGAGCAGTAACATGGAGCAGTCCCATGGAGCAGTAACATGGAGCAGTCCCTTGGAGAGGTAACATGGAGCAGTCCCATGGAGCAGTAACATGGAGCAGTCCCATGGAGCAGTAACATGGAGCAGTCCCATGGAGCAGTCCCATGAAGCAGTAACATGGAGCAGTCCCATGGAGCAGTAACATGGAGCAGTCCCTTGGAGCAGTAACATGGAGCAGTCCTATGGAGCAGTAACATGGAGCAGTACTATGGAGCAGTCCCATGGAGCAGTAACATGGAGCAGTCCTATGGAGCAGTCCCATGGAGCAGTCCCATGGAGCAGTAACATGGAGCAGTCCCATGGAGCAGTAACATGGAGCAGTAACATGGAGCAGTCCTATGGAGCAGTCCCATGGAGCACTGAGCTGGCTCTGCAGCTCAGGACATGTAGCTCCACCTTCACAGCCACCCTTCTACCCACTCCACCTCCTAGCCCACTCCTCAATCAATTTTTTTTTTTTTTGACTTTTCGAGACAGGGTTTCTCTGTAGCTTTGGAGCCTGTCTTGGACTAGCTCTGTAAACCAGGCTGGCCTCGAACTGACAGAGATCCACCTGCCTCTGCCTCCCGAGTGCTGGGATTACAGGCGTGCGCCACCACTGCCCGGCCTCAATCAATTTTTAAATCGGGACTGTCATAAGCTCCAGGGACCAGTGTCTCTGTGCACACCAGAGCTGGGTTTACAGGCACACACCAGCAGACAGACTTTTATATGGGTTCCAGGATATGAACTCAGTTCCTCATGCTTGTATGCAAACTCAAAACCAACAAAGCTATCCCAGCAAAGCAGTCCCAGAATTCTCTTTTTTAAGACTTTTCTTTTCATGTATATGTGTGTGTGTGTATGCGTGTGTGTGTGTGTGTGAGTGTGTGTGTGTGTGTGTGTGTGTGTGATGGGGATGTGGTGAGGTATCCAAGAAGGTCAGATGAGGGTATTAGATCCTCTGAAACTAAAATCATTGGTGGTTATGAACCACTGGACGTGGGTGCTGGCAATGAACTTGGATCCTCTGGAAAAGCAGCAGGTGCTCTTAAATACTAAGTCATCTCTCCAGTTTCCCCACACACACACATTATCTTTAAACAGGCTGATTTTCCTGCCATTCCCTTTGGAACCAACCACTCCAGTCTCTCTTTGGAATGTAAACTCTGCTGGACTAAACAAACCTCTGCTTCCACTGAAAAATAACCTAAAAAAAGAGATAATTTCAAGAAAAAAATGTCTCTATGATCAGAGTGTCCAAATGATAGTTTGCAATGACAGCCCCTAGGAATAGTATGTAGATAATAAGCGTTTAATACATGTGGATAATTGAGAGTTCACTGCTCAGAATTTCCTGGCCATTGTACTCCTTGGTGGCTCTGACACAGGCAGACCATTCTGCTGGAGAGAAAATACCTAAGAGCAAAGGACAGAGCTTACTAAAGAATTTCACCAAGCCACTCACTCAAAAATCATTACTCACAGTTTCAAACAGCTCCTCCATCAGCCCATTTACTTCTTTTTCTGTGAAAAGGCAAAGAAGTATGTTAGCAGAAATGAGTTTCATTTTGTAATAAGGAAAACCTCTAATCTCCCAAGGCATCTGAACAAATGCTCATATCCATCCTTCAAGCAGAAACTCAAAGACAGTTATGAAACACCAACTGTGCTTCAGTTCCTGTTCAAGATGCTTGGGTACATGGAAGAACAAAAGGCAGAAGTAGTGTTATCTGTGCCTGAGCCACAAGACTCCAAGGCACGCCAGCAGGCTTTGGACCAAGGGGAGAACAGCAGCTGGGGGTCAGAAGGCCATAATACCTAGGAGCAGAGAACCACTCGAAGTCTGTGTCCTGGGCTGCATGTTTACTGGGTAACAGGCTAGTTTACATATAGCTTGAAGACAAAGGGTCTTGCATACACGGGTTGGACTGAGAGCATGCAGGCATTATCAGTTCAAATTCCCCAGAGTCCGACGGGGGAGAAGTACAGGGAGGAAGGAGGCACATCACTTAGTTTATCAACAGGCTGTCAGCAAAACAGCACATTGGCATGAGCTTTCTAGCAGGGAGGAAAAGACTTGCTGACTTTTAAAATGATGTGGGTTTTGTCCCTATGAAGTAGATCCAGGTTTCTCAACTGGAGTCCTGAATCAACATAATTCCTACCACAAATCTCTGAGAGATTTTTGGTGTGCAGCAAACTATACCAAAATGTTTGATTCTGGAATTCCACACATTTATTTATTTACTTATTTACTTATTTTTGGTTTTTCGATACAGGGCTTCTCTGTGTAGTTTTGGTCCCTGTCCTGGATCTTTCTCTGTAGCCCAGGCTGGCCTCGAACTCACAGAAATCCGCCTGTATCTGCCTCCCGAGTGCCGGGATCAAAGGCGTGCACTACCATCGCCTGGCAGAAGTCTCCTTTCTTTCTTTTTTTTTTTTTAAAGATTTATTTATTATACATAGTGCTCAGTCTGCAGGTGTTCTGGCACGCCAGAAGAGGGCACCAGATCTCATTACAGATGGTTGTGAGCCACCATGTGGTTGCTGGGAATTGAACTCAGGACCTCTGGAAGAACAGTCAGTGCTCTTATCCACTGAGCCATCTCTCCAGTCATGAAGTCTCCTTTCTTAAAGTTTAAATTCTAGTGGAATATTCAATATTCAATGATTTTATAATAAAGCAGTTATAATCCCAGTTCTCAGGAGGCTGATGTAAAACAGCTGTTCAGGAGTGGAGACCATATTGGTATATAAGTCAGTGGCAAACTCTGGCGACATAATGAGATTCTAGCTCAAAACAAAATAAGAAGATGAACAGATATGGACTTGGAGTGCTATCTGATAAAGCAAATACATTAAGTGTGTGAAGACAACAGCTACCAATCCTAACAACCTCAGTTTGATCCCCAGGACCAACATGGTAGAAAGAGAACTGACTTCCCCAAGTTGACCTCTGTGTCTACAGTTGGTAGGTCCCTTCTGCTTGCAATGGGCCTTTTCTGTCTTGTCACCTTTCACTGCAAATCTCTTAATCCTGCTTCAGTGGCTAAAACGTCTTATCTTATGAATCCTTTCCTAAGACTTCTAAAGAACAACCTCTTTCAACAGACTGGCACCCCTCAAGCAACCTACAGAGCACCTATCACTTTCTCTCCCCTCACTAAGCTCATTGCCTGCAAGGCAGACGCCATGACCACATTCATTTTGGCATTCAGAGAATAGTACAACATTACCAAATAGCAAAGGCCAAACATAGAACTATAAGGTGTACAACAGCAACTTTCTGCATATACTCTGTATTTAAACAATTACAGAAATAAACAAAGGAGACTTAATTGTCTAAATACGAAGTGGTCCTCAGCCTCCAACACATCTACAGAGTAAACAAAGGCATGCGGACAAGACAAGAATGAACAAACTAACTTACTAGTGATTCTCACTGCACGGTCGGTACGGAAATCCTCTGTGTCTGGTTCATCGAGATCTTCCAGGAAGTTATATTCTGGATCATCATCATCATCCGCTTCATCTAGGGGGAAATATTTTAGACACTTTTACAAATTCTGCCTCTTTTTTTCACCAGACAAGGTCTCTGTCTCTGTCAATCTCTGTCTCTCACTGTGTATGTGTACGTGTATGTTTGTCTTTCTCTATCTTCCTGTGATTTTTTTTGAGACAGAGTCTCACTCTGTATCCCTAGTTGACCTAGGACTCACTAAGTAGACCAGGCTGGCCTCGAACCCACACATCTGCCTGCTTCTGCTTCCTAAATTAGGACATTACAGGCATGCATCACTCTACCACCATGCCCAGACCCCCAACTATGAACTTTTACCTGTAGAAACAAAAACTAAAGAATCTTTCAATGAGAATATATTTACTTTTTTATTTCATTGCACTTATTTGTGTATATGTGTATGGAAGCCTTGGCATGTGTGGTTGTTTGAATGAGAATCGTCCCCATGGGCTCTATATTTGAATGGATGGTTCCCAGTTGATGCAACTGTTTTTGGAGAAAGATTAGGAGCTGTGGCCTCATTGGAGCCAGCGTGTCTGTCACTGGGGGTGGGCCTTAAGGTTTCAAAAGCTCACCCCAGGCCCAGTCTCTCTGCCTCCAATTTTCAGGTAAGATATAAGCTCTCAGCTACTAACCCTGTGCAATGCCTGCCTGATTACTACCGTTCTCTGCCCTGATGGTCAAGACTCACCATCTACAACTGTAAACAAGCTCCCAACTCAATGCTTTCTTTTGTAAGTTGCCTTGCTCATGGTATCTCCTCAGAGCAATAAAACAGTAATTAAGACAGCTTGCATGTGGGGCTCAGAGAACAACTTGTAGGAGATGACTCTCGTCTACCACCATGTGAGCCCTAGGGATGGAACTGGGGTTACTGGGCTTGGCAGCAATCACCTCTACACAGAGCCATCTCATTGACCTTTGCTTTTTTTCTTTCTTTTCTTTGAGACAGGGTCATATTAAGTTACCAAACTAGCCTAGAAGTTACTACGCAGCCCTGGATAGCCTCAAGGAAGGTTAAGGTCCTCCTACTTAGCTGCCCAAGGGTTACGATACAGGAAGGGGTCGTGAGTGCTCCACCTTCCCTGATTTTTAGTAACATTTCCCCCCAATACTTTGTGGGTATCACTTTGCATAGCTGACTTGTTGTCGTACCTACTTTCTCCTCTGAGCCAGGCTCCCTTCTCTCCTCCAAACAACCTTCAGTGTCAACAAGCAGAGAAGTCTTCCCCATGACTCACTTCAGTCGTCACACAACCATCAGTGTGCCTCACAGAAACAACACTGCTTTCCTTCTGCTGTTCAAATGTTAGGTATGTGTGTGTGTACTTATGTGTGGGGGTGCCAACATAGCACAGCACACACGTGTCAAAATCTGTGGACAGTCTGCAGAAGATGGTTCTCTCCTTCCACCATGTGTGTTCTGGAGATGAAACTCAGGTGGCCAGGATTACAAGTACCTTTACTCACAAGTCATCCCAATGGCCCCAAAGGAACGTTTTATGATATAGTGGGAAAACAAAGGAGACAAATTCCCCAATTAGGAAAGGACTCTGTTAGGTCCCCAAGGCAGGCCCCCTGCCTCTGATGAGCCGGGCATCTCACCCACAGAGCTCTCATGGGAAATGCAATCTAGTTTTGGGAATATGGGAGGATTGGGGAGATGGCTGCGAGTTAAGAGTACATGTTGCTCTTGAAAAGGAGGGCTTCAGGTCCCCGCATCCAGATGTGTCTTACAACCATCAATACCTCCAGTTCCAGGGGATCCAATACCTTCTTCTGACCTCCTTGGGCCCCACACAAATGTAGTATACATATATACATGCAGGCAAAACATTCATACACATCACTATGTAGACCTGTTGGTATGGGACACTCTTTGGAGAACAGGCTATCCTTGAACTCACAGAGATCCTCTTGCCTCTACCTCCAGAACACTGAGTTCAAAGGTATCAGCCAAGGCACAAAGCAACACAGAGAAACCTTGTCACAAACGACCAAAAAAAAAAAAAAAAGGTATCAGCCACCATGCCAAGCCTTTTAAATTTTGGGTGGTTTTCTACGTTTGCTTGTTTGTTTGTTTTACACTGTTTAAAAAATCTGTAATACTTTTTTAAAGTTTGTAATATTTTAAAAGCAAGCTTTGCTTTTTCTTGGTTTGAATTGTGTCACTACTGTGTGTGTGTGGGTACACAGGTGCACACTGCACATGCACAGGCCAGAGGACAACTAAAGTCAGTGCTCTCCTTCACACAAGTGCTGGGAATCAAACGCAGCTTCTCAGGCCTCTACAGAAAGCACTTCTGCCATCTGAGACGTCTCAGTAGGGCTATACAGGAAGATCTCGTCTCCAAAGAAAAACTGTTGTATGCTTTTCTTTTTATGTGTATGACGTTTCCCGTGGATGGATGGATGCGTGTGGTGGTGCAAACCTTTAATCCTAGCCTTCAGGAAAACAAATAAGGACTTGCTTGATGCACAGCGGGGAAAGGAAGGATGAAAGAAAGGAGGGAAAAAGAGAGGGACTTAAAGGCCCTGGAGCCTGTACAATATGATTAACAGTGTTGTAGTAATATACATCCAAGCACTTAGGACTTATCCATTTCTTTTGTTCAGGCCCTTCTATTCCTAGCTGTACTTACTCACTTACTGATTCTGCTTTATGAAAACTTTGATTTGATCAATACCCTCATCCCACTTACTGTAAAATATCTTCTGGGTCTGTGCATAGCTCACCCCACTGCTATGTAAAGGGCTCTATGTGAGGTACTACAACCCCAGGACAATATGCTGAAGGAGTGTCCGTGTCCAAGCCACATACCACGACAGATCCAACCATTCTGAGTGCTTTCCCCGGACTTTTCAAATATTAGCTTCTAGGGGAAAGTTCTTCTGATATATTGACAATGCAAGAAGAAATCATGGATTTCTAGTCATGTCAAAAATACAAGGATGAG